AACGGCGCGTGGGGAGACGGGACGGGGCTGTAGGCGCGCGACATGGCGGGCAGAAGGACGAGAGAAAGGGAGACGAAAAGAGAGACGGGCGTAGACTGGCCTGAACGCGGATGCGGATTACTTTAACTCGTTCTGCACGGCTCGTGTGCGCCCCCATTGGCTGCCTGCCGAGGCCACTCCCGCGCCGTCCGCCCTCCTCGCGACTGCTCGCCCTTCTGTCGTCTCCCTTGCTGCCTCCGCCTCGCCCTCGCCCTCGCCCTCGCCCCCGCCAGCGTCGTATCCCCATACCAAAGCATCCCTGGCCTCGACATCCAGCGCGCGCCTAGCTCAGAGTCCGCCCCCGACCCATCTGCCTTTCCCAGCCGGCGCCCGCACCCATCGATCCTCTCCCCCTCCATCCAGCAGCCGCCCAGCCTCGAGCCATCGCTCTCCCACTGCGCCCAACCTGCCCTGTCCACTTGGAATGCCGCGCGGTAGCAAACCATGGCCGGCACTCTCCACTCCCACATATCGGCACGGCCATCGTGAGCTCACATCGCCTCACGGCTCTCTTCGGCATCTCCATCCACCGGTACCGAGCTCTCTGTCCCATCCTCCTCCGATTGCAGCTCTACGCAGACTTCCACCTTGCGCTCCATCACCCTGACACCACATATCTTACCCCCCACGCGTCGCGTTATCCGCCATGGGCGCACACCTCGCCCGCATCACCGCTCATCCTGGACATGTCCCCCGCACTCATTAGCCCGACTCGGTCCGAGACGTCAGCTAGCGCTTTCATCCTCCGAGAATAGCAGCCCCGAAGACGCCCCGTAACTTTGCCTCAGCCGCCCATCCTCTACGAGAATAACTCGGATTGTTTCCGACCGCCCAGCAGTGACGACAGGCTTTATGTTCAGTGGAGCCCATGCGCATGCAGCTGGCCGCGGGATCACATCCGCATCACCATCGCCCAAGCGTTGTATGACGTCGCCCACCGCAGCCGAGTATACCATCGCTGTCGCCGCCCCGTCTATGCGCTAACTCTCTCCCGCCGGTGCTGCAACCAAAACGCGGCGATCACGTTCGACTACGGACTGGAGCTGTGCTCCTACCTGGATGTTGCCCGCGTTCGTAGGTCCACGCATAAAGGGGCAGGGGGAACAAGGGGCTGCAGGAACGTTGCCGTCGACCTGCTTCCCCCTGAACAAGGTCTACTCTTCATATCGGCATTGGCGTCAGCCGTCCATTGCAGGCTTTGCAGCCGCGTATTTGCTGGCGCCCGCTATTCTTGCGGTGCGAGAGCCGCACTATTTATACCAGCCACTCGCCGGGCCCGAAGCTCACCGTGCAGCAGAATGGCTGTAGTCGGCGGCATATGTGCATGTGCACAGTGTTCTTCTACGTATCCCACAGCTCGTCCAGCGATCGCATCCTCGGATTACAACGTTGAGCACCCGGTCTGATTACTTTGATCAATTGCCGATTCCTCACGCCAAACTTATCGCCGCCTCGTTCAGCAGCGACCAATCCCTAGGCATTCTATCTTTGTCGAGAGGAAGCATGTCCACAGCTCGTGGTGCCGACTGCTACGGTATGCGCTATTGCAAACTGTCAGCATTCTTCAGATATTGCCTCGGGTTTGGAACTGTCAGCCGACAGGGCGCTGCCACCAGTAAGACGAAGCAAGCGTCTACATAGCACAAGCAGGCAAATATAGGACCATGGCCATGTGCAAGAAGACCCTGTTCGGTGCCATCTTTATTGTGCGAGTTTCCCTTCAAGCTTCGTGCGCTTGAGCTCAATTCAATGTCTCCGCCGGAACTTATCAGAGAAGGCCGTCTCCAATCGATGCAGCCGCGACTGGGGCGGTACCCAGCGATGATTCTGTCTACGCGAGATAAAAATACACCAGAGATCCCTGTCCACAGCCTCAGCGCAAGCCGCTGGGCACCACACTCGGAATATACTTAAGGCTGCAACAGAAGGAACCACAATCTCCTGAGAGTACCCCAGCAGTCGATGGCTCGTTGTTACCGCTCGCTGCGGCACCGAAACACTGAAGCAGATGTCCGGTGTGCTACCCCGGTCGGAGCAGCTGCTTCTTCCGACACTATATAGTCGCGTACCCTGCCCACATTGATATTCGGACAACCACCTCGTCGAGCGATCCTATACCGCCTCTATCTCGACTGGCTTAACGTCGCGCACCTCGATCCATCATGGCACAAAACTGTGGCAACGGCGGTGGCGCGGATACCTACACGGGCTTGCGCATCGCGTCCGTCTTTATCGTCATGGCCACATCCATGTTCGGCGCACTCTTCCCCATCCTCTCGCGCCGCTCGCAGTACCTCCGCGTCCCCGTCGCCGCGTTCAAGGTCGCCAAGTACTTTGGCTCTGGCGTCATCGTGCGCGGTCCCCCCTCGTCCCGCGCGATAGCGACTGACCTGGCTTGCGTGCAGATCGCGACCGCGTTCATACACCTCCTCAGCCCCGCCATGGACGCGCTGAGTTCGCCCTGTCTCCCCGCGTCGTGGCGGGAATACGTACGCCCCCGCCTCATTGCGCCCCCCCGTGACTGACCCCTCCGCGCGAACGACGCTCTGCACAGCCCTACGCACTCGCGCTCTGCCTCGTCAGCATCTTCATGATCTTCATCGTCGAGATCATCGCGTTCCGCGTGGGCACCGCCATCCTCGCCAAGATCGGCATCAAGCATGGTACGTCCCTTGCCGCGGTCCCCAGCCGTGGCCGCGCCTGACGCGCGACGGTCCCAGATCCGCACGGACACCACCTCGCGATCGGCGCACACGCCGCGCACGGCCCAGAGTCCAGCCGTGAAAAGACGCCGGATCCCCGCCCTGCCCCGCGCGACGCGGAGTCCATCAAGGAGGTCGGCGGCCCTGGGCGCGAGGGTGACGTCGAGTCGCTGCCGGACGCAAGCAGCGCCGCGCCAACGTCGCCCGCGGCGCAGGTCCTGGGCATCGCGATCCTCGAATTCGGCGTGCTGCTGCACAGGTGAGTTGCGCCGCCGCTCCGCCCGCCCGCCCGCCCGCGGGGGCTGACGACCCGCACCAGCGTGTTCGTCGGGCTCACGCTCGCGGTCAACGCGAACTTTAAGATCCTGTTCGTCGTGATCATCTTCCACCGTGAGTCCTGCGCGGTCTGCGCGCGCGTGGTAGCCGAGACTAAGCGCGCCGTGCCCCCGCAGAGATGTTCGAGGGCCTCGGCGTCGGCTCGCGGCTCGCGTACATGGACCTCCCGCCGGGGTACCGCTACATCCCCATCGTCG